CCATTATCAAGTTCAACATCTACTACTCCATAGTTATCATTCTTGATCAGCAAAACTTGTTTCGTAGCCGGTTACAATTATAATAGGCAAAAGGGCTCTGCTCCATGGAGTGAGTATCGATAGAGATTGACACATATTACTCAACTGATCGTTACAGTGACACGCTCAGGTCGCTCTTGACAATGTCAGGAGAAGCTGTAGAAACAGTTAAACTCTCACTGCTGTAAAGTGTAGGCCACGTGTTTTGTGTAGTTCAGTAGAAATCATGCAGAACCATTGTTCTTCAACGTAGCCAGTACTGGACAACGCCACATGATATTCTATGATATGGATATTGTACTCGTTGTAGTACGTCATGAGATAGGGGATAGATCCCAAGTAGAGGGATCACCTCATGATGATGAGGTGATCCCTCTACTTGGCACATTTTTCTAAGTTACATGCAGTGCATTGTCTGACACTCAATTTGAAAGTGTTTTCAATGTTTTTAATATTTAAGATATTGAGCATATTAAGATATTAAGATTTTTTTTGTACCAAATCCTCTTCCTGCCACCTACTTTGTACAAAGAGTTTTCTTCAACACTTTTCATCTTATTTCTTTGGAGTGACACTTTAAGTACAAGTGATTCGAGGCTTTAGCAATATAGAAGTCAATTACAATGTACGACCGTAAGTTGCTGTAACAAACTTGCAATTTTTCAAATTGGATCTATTTTGCATGTCAGTTTAGCTTAAACTTTTGACTTTACCAACAAGTGAGTTTTTAGTTCAATTGCAATTTGCACCTACTCAGAGTACACTATCTAATCATATGTGAGTAAAATTTCAAGACATAAGGAAATAATTTTTCATTCTATCTATCTTGCGATATGTACAATATTCAGGTAGGCAAATCCTCTTCTTGCACACACAATTCAAAATCATTTCATATTTCTTATCAATCGAGAGCGGTTAACCATCCAACTAATCACAGAACGAAACATCTTGAAGTTGCATTGAACTCTAAATGTGTATCTAAAACTAAAAGTTTTATGATTATGTAATGATTATGATAATTTATGTGCAACCTTTTTGCAATGATTCAAATTTAAATATACAGCTATGTATAACTTTCATTTCGTTATTAATTTCAGAGAGCAGAGGGCTCCAAATCAAGTGTATTATTCAGTTAAAAGCACTAAACACCTCAGACTCAAATGCCTTCGTGAAAAGGTGTACTCTTCCCGTGAAAAACGCTTCCCGTGAGGTGCTCAACGCTTGATCAGACGTCTGATGAGTATACCAAACCACTAAAACAGGATAGTTTGAAGAAAGTGGATGAGATCTTGGTCTCTGGAAAAATAGGTCTTCAAGGGGTCCTCGTTGAGAGAAAGAGGGTTCCGTACATCGCTGATGATCGTCAATGAGACTGTCGTAGCTTTGCATGTGTGGTTTGTATTGTATCAATTTAAAGAAGCCAAAATACATTCCCTTGTTCGAACTTGCCTATAGTTGTGGTAAAATCCAGCAGCTAGATGTTCAATCCTGTTTGAAGTACAGTAGCTGTCAGCCTGAGAAGCATTCACCCTGCCAACTTGTCTGACCTTGTGTATCAAAAGGACTGTGATGCTGTTGGCATCTGATTCTCAAAGAATTAGCTTTTGGCAGATCAAACTCTGGCATGAGTTCTCGAGTGTATCTCAGGACTAGATGGATGGATGGAGACATTCAGCTCGATGAATGAGATGGGCATTTCACATTATGTCAAATGTCCGTATTGTAATGATCTTGAATTGTTGTTTGAAATGCAAGGCATTCAAGATCAAATTTTGGTCTGATGTGCAACCCATAAGAAGGTTCAGATTTTGTGCCTTTTTTAGACAACTTTGAACGTTCAGGCTTCCCTGACTTCAGAAAAGCAACTCTCCACCTCCCTATGTTTGAAATCAGGGTAGACTCAACTGAGCTCGTGCTCTATGTATCAGTTATGTAATGCACGCACTTCTATTTATGCATGTTTGATGTTCGATCATTTCACATCTAGCCAAAAGCCATCGAGAGAAATGTTCCATCGTGATGAAAGGTCCAAGCAGAATTTGACTCCTTGAGAAAGGGTGGAGAAAACATACAACAAAAGAGGTATTGGCTCATGAAGATAGTACTGTTTCGATTCTGAAGAGGTAAAATTAGACGAATTCGGTCGTCGGTTCGAATCAGTAACAGCTGTGCTTCATTAAACAGCTGGTAAAATATCTCAGTTTTCATATCATATCCTGAATTTCTGAACCAAGTTTCTCGTTCTATCTAGGCTCCTTCATACGAACTTCGCTCGCGTCCTTGATTTGGGTAGACAATGTGCGCAGGAACTTACCTCGAGTTCCAAACGATGCAGGTAAACCCCTACATCTATCGTATTCCTTTTTTTAACAATTTTATTTACATATTTTTTTTATTCCCTTCGCCTGTCACACTGGCAGCTTAGGACTTCGGGGGAATAAATTATTAATACTTTGGCAAAATTGTCATTTTGAAATTTGTAAATACGCCTCTTTTAAAGATGTTTAGAAACCGATCTTCATATGAGGGAAGACATTCATGATTTTTTTATTTGTTTTTTCATCCTTGAGGGCTCCATCGGGTATTCACATTTTTTTCTATCCATTTGGTTCTCCATTTTGAACCAAAAATGATATTAGGGAAGAAACCGCGTTGACACTTCGCTCTTCGCACTTTATTTGCAGGCATATCGAACCTTTTGCCACGCTTTCAGATAAGTAACAATAATCTGAGTCTTGTGCTTGAGAAATTCAAACTCTCTGCAAAAAATTAATGTGCGGGTTTCCCTCATTACAGATCGAGATTCAGTTGATCCCTACAAACGAATACTTCCATCCTTAAACAATCTACGTCAAATGCGTGATCTGATTAGCTCAATCATGGATTTCTTTTATAGCTCTAATCATGCAGTTCAAGCCCTTTGTTTTTCATTTGATTTAGCACCCGTGGTGTAACTTCCATCCTCCGTGTGCAACCGCCCCAAGTTTCACACCTTCTGATGTGTCCAGTGTTGTCGGTAATCAGGTTGACTTTACTTCAACATCATCACCAACAACTCGAGAAGGTTCTAATTGCACAAGGAGTGTAGCCTGAAGGAAGTCCTCTCATCAGATCTAGTTTCTTCTCTTACACTGCCCATATTGGGCTGTTTCAATTTAAAAAAGAATTTACTTGTGACAAGTGGATCAACGATTTGTCACAGCTTCAATCTTCAGATATGCTATCAACTTTTTTTGGAAGCATTTTATTTCTTCAACGAACTTATTTTTTGTCTGGATTGCTGCTTCTATCAGGTCGCACTCTTGTATCTTGGTTATAAACTTAGAGATTTATAGATTGAGAATAATTTTAGAATTTTGTTGATTGCATAAAGTACTTTGGCAATATCCTCGTACACAAGATGTCTCCCGCGTCTCGGTTTGGAATGAACGCTTTACACCGACTGCGAATACTAGAACCTTCAATGAAAACCTTCAAGTTTCAAAGCAAACCTACTGATATGTCTGGTAGAGTCTCTCGGTCAGCTTTTAAACCGTAATCAATCTGATTGATTGATCTTGCTCATAGATTAATGGTGTACATTGTTAGAATGCCTTTTTGAGTCAAAACCTTCAATATTATTTCTTTTCAATTATCGGAAGTATTTTAACTGTAAGAACATAAGACAATCATCCCACAACGTAAGACTACTCAATACGCAGGTGATATGTTGTACACGTCAGCACAGAGAAGTGTCATTTTCATTCCGACCATTTGCACTGGAGTTCTACAGAGTGCTAACTGTGCAGAACTCCAAGGCAAACGAATACTAAATGTTCGTATTGAGCAATTCGTTTTTTATGAAGTTGTTCGAGCAATAATTGAACTTACTGTTGAATCGGAAACTGTCTTATCTAGATCTATTGCATGTCAATGCTCAATACGAATATGTTACTGGAGAAGACGTTTAGTTACATGTTATGCTTGTGGTATTGTTTAGAAATGTCTGATTATAGGTGAACCCACTCACCACCTGGATCGGTGATAAATTTGTTTACATCTTTATAATATTATGGATGTGAATGACATAGTGTTTCGCTGTCTTCACTATATCAAACAGTCTTTTGGAGTCTTGTGTATCAATTGATTTATGTATAGCAGTAGTCAGTGCAACCTCATTGCTATACTATAGCAATGAGGTTTAAGGTTTGCTTCTTTGGATGCATTTGTTGATACTCCATGTAGAAGTTGGATGGGTATCCCCATATTTGATCTTCTATTACTTGAGCACTTAGATGATTACATCCTTTAGATCCTTTTGTTGACACAGTCCGATGGGTATTCCCTCTTTGAATCTTATATTACTTGGTAATTGACATAATAGCAAAGTTTGTTAAAAGGCCAAGTGAATGCATTGAACGTTGCGACGAAATATGCTTTTGATCTTTACAAAGGAGAGATTAGTCGAATGAGGTATATAATTTGGTCTTCAGCATGGGACTTCGAAACTTTATATAGATCTCGGAGACGCTTGGACTTTGACCCATGCAAGTGTGCTGTCATCGAAGAGCAGAAAGAGCGGTCAGTAAAACATATGAAAGAGAATCAAACTCGTCGAACGAGTGTTGGACGCCAATCTCCAGCTAGGTAGGTACTCACACAAATTTTGCTATGATTCCCTTGGCCACATCGGTTCTTCTGCGCTGTAGTTGGTGTAAGAAGTCAAAGGTGCTGTGCACGTGAAAACCAGAGTTTCAAACGTAAGCTTCGAACAATCGACGTAATGAAAATGAACTGTAGCTCTTCATTCTCGCGGGTCGTTACACAACGTGATGCAAATGTCACCCCGTGATTCTCGAAATATTAAAGTGTTGATTTGCCGCAGAAAGTTGTTGACTGTCACTACATTATAAGCCCCCATTCTCTCGCTTCTGCGACTGTTAGGTTCACCCTCGTGTCTCGATGAGAGATTTCTGTGCTATTTAGTCCTCCATGCAACAGAAATCGAGCGCAGGTGTCTGAAAGCACGCCTCCCCTCACGGCCGAGAGAGGAGAAATTCCCTCGACTGTCGACTAGAGCTTCTGATAAGGACGAGACTGGTGGAGTTCTGATCGCCCGGAGAGTGCGTATGATGAAAGCCTCTGGAATTTGTCAGCCGGCTCACACCATGCGTTACTGATATCCGGAGGGATGGATGGGAACAGGAGGAGCCTCGAGAAATGACCTGCTGAAGTCATGGTCATCGAAGAGCAATTCAGGGTGCAACTTGTTTGAAAATGGCGATTGAGATCAGAGATCATTCTTCCTCTTCTTGTAGGTTCGAAGAACGGTCTTGAGTCTCATGACCGGATCGGTGTGGGAGCCGTCGAGATGATGAGTGGGGAGGTTCTCTTGACTTACAGCAATAAGGCCCTTCTGGGTTTAATGCTGCTCTTGCTGCTGTTATGCAATCTCCACCTTCTACGAGGCAGCACCACGAGCAGTTCCGAAGCTGCACAGGTTCAAGGTTTGTCAGCAGTGGATCGCTGTGGCAGTCCTGTGTCGTGCAGAAAACCGGAGGCAATTCTTCAATTGGAGATTCTCTTGATGGCATGCAAAATGGCAGCCCAGGGCCGGGAGATACCTGTAGAACGTGATGAGTGCTGCTTGACCATCAGGGCCCTGGATCCGCCTTGTCTATGTCGGGCCTTTGATCTAGCTCTTCATTACCCTCCGTTCCACCTTAACATCACCGCTGCTCTAGGATTACCACGACATTGCGGATACAATGTGCCCGCCAACTGCATCTGTAATGGTAAGATTTCCTGTACTTCAATCTTCTGTGTTTCAGATTTCAATGGGCATGGAACATTAAATTCCAAACAATTTGAGTCGATTGTGGACTCTTATGGGTTGAAATATCGTGTTTATTCCGTAAGAGCACCTTCGCATGATTTGGATTTTCCCACCAGCTTCTCAACTTGAAGTGAGTGAGCCTCGAAGGTTGCATCTCATACTGAAGTTGCTTTCCTGATGGCGTTCACCTTTTACAGGCTTCAAGGTGCCAAGTTAGATGTCAAGATCATTGCTTGAAAGGACTTCCAGAAAACAGGGTACCCTTGTAAATGTCAAGAGAGTTGATGGTTGAATTACGAACTTAGCAGTTAAACATTTTCTGAAGCCAGCAGCAGAAGACGAGTCATCTTGGCAAGCGATGCAGATCGTTGTTGTGAGGAGAGGACACGAGAGAATTCCGACTTGCCAGATAGGAGTCGCAGAGCTTTTTTTTCCAAGAAGCATTGCAGAGCATGTATGTTAAATGGCAAGCGCAGCAATCCTTCCGACAGATGTATCACCAAGAACTTAGATTCGAAATCTGTAAATTGTATCCTGAAACTCATTTAGATTCAATTCTTACACAGCTTGGATTCTACGAGTTGTTTCGTTGGAAAGCTTTTGTTGCAGGAGGTAGGGATGAGTCCGTGCCTGAAAGAAATGGAACTTTCCAATTTCCAATTCTTTCAGGCACAGAGACTATAATTGTAGGGACCATTCTCGACATAATGAGTCTGCCCTCTTTTCTCAGTTGCTACTTTCTTCTCTGTGCATGTCTCTCAGCTTTTGAGGTCTTTTCAGGACCGATATTTCTAAATTTTACATTATTCCAGAAATTCTGTCTTTATCTCTCATTTTCCGTGTGCCCCATGTTAGAGATGCGGAATCCAGCTAAGCGCTATATGCGGTGTTGCTGTCAGATCGGCAGAGTGTACGTCAATCTATTCATGTGTAACGAAAGTTCCAGACTGTAAGGCAATCTGCAGGAGTCCTCTGTGTCTCTCGTCACGACTATTATCAGTATTTCGTACCGTAGTCATTCATGGAGGACGTAAATCGACCATACCCATTTCAGCTTGCTGCGGACTAACATCGTCTCTTCCACGCGTTTAGCAACATCCAGCTTCTCCAATGTTCATCATTGTTTTCGAGATTTTGATATTTGCACAAGCGAAAGTTTTCCTGTATTTCCAGCAGGTTATTCGCTATATTTTGAGCATCAGTTATGAAGTGGTCAGGATTTTCCTAATATTATTGGTTTAAATAATGCATTAATTAGATTATAATTTGAGGTGAATTTTGGTCCAATGTTACACATGGTTTGATTTCTCAACTATAAAAACCTATTATTATTATGATCATATGATTATGAACCATACAGGTGATAATGATATGATTTATGTATATTTCATTATAAGTTCTATTACCAATTTTTACATTTAAAATCGTCTTGAGTTTTATTTCTAATAAAAGAGATATATATATATATATGCAACTTTCAAATTCTAGAGATTGTTTAGAATATTAACCTTCGTCGATTCAAGCAACAAAGTGTACGCGCAAGAAACATATAGATTGATACACCATCTTAGTATCTTTAAGATAGTATGATATACTAAGTATCACGTGAGTGGATACGATACTATCGTATCCAGTTGTGATCTTAAAATGTAATTCTCTGTGATTAATTTTAAAGAAATACGTTTTCATCTTTTTCTTTAAAGCTAGAAGGTAATTGAATTGGATTGAGTATATTACGTGGAGTTATAAATAGAAGAATATACAAGACTTCAAAGATGCCGCTAAGAATATTTGTTGTGATTGTTATTATTTTTTCTTCACTAATGTCATTTCTAAGTTTGAATCACATAATTATTTTTCTAATTTTTTATACGAGAATTTAAAAATATTTTGTGTGTTTCAATACTGATTTTTAATTGTAATTCACAATAAGTGCATGTATTCTCAACTTGGTGATGTCTATCTCCCGTTTGTAATCCATTTTGTTTAAATAAGTTTTAATCATTTCAAGATTGAACTACCTCCTTGATATATTTTCAATCGATTCTATCTCTTTGTTGTACTCGTTTATTGTACTTATTTCAAGCTTTTTCATTGCATGAACAAGGTATGAATAAGGTTGAACATATTCAACATCAGGTCTTGAGGAGGAAATATATCGTCATCCATTAATAAAATTTTATCAACTTAAGTGTAAACTGCTAAACAATATAAAATCAGAAATATTACATTTAGATGAATAAGACTTTTCGTGATAAGTTATTAGTGTGAACCAGCTTGTTTAAGAAAAAAAAATGCGATTTGCGTGAACACAATAGTCAATAGTATGTAGAACTTTGGAGAAGATGTCACGCAAGACTCATCAAAATATTTTAGGTGCCATCTAACATTTATGTTTCAAAAGGAGGGATTTAGAATTGTATTTCCAAGAGGTGAAAAGGCAATATACTGTACTCTCATATGCGAGGATGACGCAAAAGAAGACAGGACAATATAACAAAGTCCACGCGATCAGATTTAAAGTTCGGGCGAAGGTGACGTGGACAAAATGGTAAATCCAATGTTCCTCGAAAAGGTGCCTGGGGCTCGGGATGCGGGGCCCTTTGACTAGGCTCCCATCTCATCTCAGGGCAATGATAGATGCTAAAAGTGCACCGACCGGATAAGGAACGAAAAGCGACGAGTTTTCGGGCGAATTGGAAGGAGGGAACTGTGAGAACTTGCGGATTCGAAAAGTTCGAAGAGAAATCGGCTCCGATTCAGTCTTGCGCCGAGAAAAGAGAGCCCATCGCGTCTCACGAGCGGACCGGGGCTATGGCTGCGGCCGCTGCAGCCGCGACCGGGCTGCTGCTCGCGGTGCCAGCGGGAGTGGGCAGCTCCATCGTCGTCCGAGCTTCTGGTTGTGGACGCTGCAGCTGGAAACAATGTTGGCCTTCGCTCAGGTGGAGCTCGGCGTCGACAGGTCCTTCGCGGTTTCGGTCTGGCGCCGTCGCGGTGCAGGTGCAGAGTCGCTATGGAGGCCGAGACCTCGCCGCTCGAGATCGGGAGATAGAGTTCGGTAAGTTTAAAGGCAGTCTGCTGGGAACAATGTCGTCCAAGTACTTGAAGTGGATGGTCAAGAATCTGAGGGGCGGGCCGATGTCTGAGTGGGTGGCTTACGCGGAAGAGGTGCTCGAGGACCCTTATTACAAGGACAGGTTGGAGTGGGAGAAAGTGGAGAAGCTCATGACCATGGCACACGATTTGGACAAAATCACAGGAAACAGGGACGTTCTTGCGCCTGCGAAAGTGTTCGGGTGGAACCTCGAGGATGACAGTGGATGGAGAAAGGTCAATTTTGCTCTGCTCGGGACCACTCGCGGTGGCCGAATTCCGCGAGTCAAAGAGCCTGCGGCGGGTGCAGCGAGCCCGGTCGGGAAGAAGAGAGTGAGGCGACAGAATGTTTCCATCAGGACTCAACCGGCTGCTTTGTCCACTCCGGAGTCTGCGTCACAGGGAAGCTTGAGGGATGAATTAGCGAGGAGAAGAGAGTTGAGACGAGACAGGCTTATGGCGAACAGAGGTGTTAAGTCGGCCGACATTGAAGAGGAAGCGAAACGGATCATGAATCCGTTCCCAGGGCGTGACAGTATCGTCAGTAAAGTGAGGAGCTACGATATTTCGGATTAGTTGAGAATGTCAGGTCTTAGAAATGTAGGATGTGATTGGACTATACTGATTGAATGGCGATTGTTGAGAAACGTTTTGCGTCACATGATGCAAATTTTCGTCATATTTTTTTTGCCCTCTGCCTTATCTGGAGGTCGAAGACACAAGAAGAGAGCAGCTGGGCAGGTAGTTATGTATAGATTTTAGAAAAAAAGCACACGCACAGTGTGCAGTTGAGGTGATTTGACACTTGCAAGTCACCATCCAGAGCAAAAATGTTACAATGCGTCGGACGAAGCTATCAATTGGAAACCGGAAATTTGCTGTTCGAAGCTCGAGCTATTTGTATCTATGGAAATGAATGTCAATCGTTGACCTTCATGGTTATCGTCATCGTCTAAACCCCCTTCGGCCAGCCGATTGAAAGAGTGGTTGTTAAAAGATTCAAATAGTCTTCTCTAATATCTAATTGCTTTCAAGCCTGACTCGGGCATGGTAGTTCCTGTCGTGCACAGCAACAGTTCTGGGAGTAGGCATGGCGATGCTGCCAAAATATCTTATCCTGTCAACACAGTGGGGAAGCGAAAGACATCATTGTCGAAGAGGATTACCTGCATGGTTCGTAGTGAGAAACAAGCTACACATTCTCTGCAGTTTCCAGTCAAGGACACAGCTTTCATTATGTTGTATATCTTACCCTGTGCATTATCTTATGCAGCACCAACGTTTCACTAGCTTCGAGAGCTACTACATCCATCGCTGCCACAACTAAGCCGAGTCTCGTAATACGAACGTACACATGACTCCGGAGAACCATGTATATCGCACTTGTGAGTAAGTCTCGCTAGATCTCACCCCTATTTTTCCATGTTGCGGCCGAAATTTTTCCCTTCATCATGTTTGGCACCGAGAGTCCAGTGAAGGAGCAGGCCGTGACGCTATAGCTAGTCGACAGCATATCCCGTATCTGAAATGGGATTCAGTACTACGTCTCAATATCGTGAAGATTTTAATTGTGTACAGCCTTAAATCCATGAGCACGATTTCCCATCAAGAGTTCCTGCGAGGCAGAGTAACTGCCGTTACGACTGAAGGCTTCTTTCCCACTTCCACAAAACTCATCGCAATGACTACCGTGAGAACTGGCCGTGAATACTTGAGGATGTAATAGGACGGCAAGACTTCATCTTGCCGTCATACCTTCAACTACTTTTCTCATATGTGAGCCGCTTGAACTGATACCGGGGTCAATCTTTACATTAACAATCTCAACTTAGAACGAAATACGACAGTGGAATCTGAGAACAGAGATTGAGAGGTACAACCTTGGACCAAGGACACAGAAACTTACAACCACCTTTCCTTCTACCATAGAACTGCGAAGAGAGGACCTGAGCATGTAGAAGAATCTGAATCGCTACAGAAGGTGAGGTGGCCAGAAACGATCATAAAAGACGTCTGTATGACACGTGCACTTCAGATTCACTAACGATTCTCGAATACAATCGCGATGCCGGTGGCATCGTGTAACAAATTCGAATAAAAGGCTTGAAGCAACACTCAGATTATCTACAGATCCACTCCCGATCTTTCATCCACTGAATAAAGGACTAAGAAAGTATGTGGCTAAGGCAATTACCTGTAAGCCATAAAGTTGCCAAAAATTCCTACTACTGAACTATCTTTGTTTAAAACTCTCTTCGAGGTGACTTTCAAGAGAAAAAAATGTGCTCGTATTAGTACAATGATGATAATCCCAAATGTCTCTAAGAATCTAAAACCGTGTTTTTCTTTTACGCCCAGTGTACTTCGTGTCTCGTGGAACATTTGTTACACCCTTGTTTCTCCTTTGCTCTTTCTTTTTGAGAAGCCACGCTCTCCCCTTGACTTTCTTTCCGTTTTTCAGTCTTTTCGCCGGCCTTTGCCTTTCAGCTACATCAACCTGAAATCAAACCACAGCATTGGATCTAAAAAATATGTCGGAGGGAGAAAGTTTGAACCTGAGTTTGATTCATACCAAGTGTTATGTCATAAGATGACCGTCAGTCAACTTAACTGACACTTTGAATCGACTGACCTAGAGCAAAAAGCATGAAGCAAGTACACTGAGTGCTTACAGTTTCGTTTTCCTCGTCCTCACTATCATCCTCACTTTCACTTCCTCCGTCCTCGCCCTTTGCTTTCGGAAGGGGAGTGCTTGTACTGGGTGGACCACAAGACAAACACAAAAAGTACTTCTTTGCTCTTGAACTGCACAACAAAGCATTCGGCTTCAGTATCCAGCGGGGACTACAACAACAATTCTTGATAAGCGTGAAAGACCTGGACCTCCCTTACCTGTGAGGATAATCGACAACCAAGCCTCCCGAAAACCCTACTCGCATTGCAGCTGTTGAAATCATCTCCAATTGTTGTGTATTTTCAGGATAAATTTGCAAGATCGCTCGAGCTCCTCTCGCTAGACACTTGTACAGAGATGAAAAAAATGCTCTGTTTGTCACAGATAAGTAGGGCAAAACAGTGTGTTAGAACTGCTAAGACAGAGCGTACCAAAAGATCAAGCATATCCATTTGAACAGTAAGCTCCGAATACTGGAAACACGACGATCAATGTCAAACACGTTCACAATGAGAAATCGATGTGTCGTAACTACTTACTTAAGTCGTGCCCGGGGATCATTGCAACTCTTATCGGCATTGCAAAGCCACTGTTCACATTACCAAAGACAAGTCATATTTATTAGTCTGGGTAGGAACTGTCTATAACAAACGACATCTGTAAACCTACGGGTACCCAATTTGAGCGACATTGAACTCACTACGAGTTTTGTTCCTTTCACACCATGAGTTACAACTGTCTATCACCAGACTGAGATTAAAGATCGGGCAGCAGCTCAAGATAAGAGGAAAGGAAGCAAGCAAGTACGAGACAAAGAATGCTTACCTGCACAGCTGAAATACTAATGGCTCCATCCAATGAGCCAGGGCGGAAACCCAAACCCTGCACAAAACCCAGGGTTCACCTTACAATTAGCGCTCGATCTCATGCTCACCACGATAATTTTCCATAACACCAGGAACAGGTCGCCCCAGATTAAATTCCATTGACAAGGTGCTAGCAGTAGTCCGAAGGAAAACCGGATTATGAGCTCTCAGTTTGGCTCCATGATTTCGATGCTTACCTGCCCAATGTCGCTGACCAGCAAGTCTCCATCGACCTCGCGTTCAAGAGCGATATCTGCAACCGCAGAATAATTAGAGCACAATTAAAAATTAATCCTTGTCAAACAAGAAACTTGCATCGTCTACTTAGGAATGCATTGCTAAAGTCAGGTAGCTGAAAGCAGCAGGCAAACCGGCCGCACAGAAACGGGAGCAATCGAAATTTACCTATCATAGACTCGGAAATGTCCATTCCGATCCAATGATGCCCATTCTCAGTCAACGTCTCTCCGCTTAAACCTGACCCACATCCTGTGCAACCCACAACAACAACATAAGTGACTGGTAGTAACTAAATACGTCTCTGACATCGAAGTGGCGGACGACAGGCCAGTAAATGATAGCAACCAAATGTCCGCATTCATACCTATGTCCAACAGAAGACGAGGAATACCATCACTAGGCAACGCCAGCAGTTCCAGCGCTCGTTCTGTTAGTTTGGCCTGCAGAGGGAAATCCTGATGTCAACACCCAACTGGGCACAGCGAACTGCAAAATAAGAGTTGACCCAGACATTGCACGGGCAGACTAAATAAGGACCGAAGCGGCCGTCGACGTTCAGCCCAAACCTACAATTCGTTGCAAAATTCAAGCCTTGTCCTTCACCTGAATTTCGATAATTCGCGACGAAGTGGTATACTTCCGAGCTTCAGATTCATTGTAAAAAATCTCCGGAGGAGCTTGACGCTCTGGCCGGAGCGACATCTCTTACTAGCTAGTAATCTTCCTCCAACTTCACTGAATCTGTGTCTTCCTCCTAAACATCCGGCTCCAGGACCCACAAACTTGTCCCGACCCAATCCACCTATAAACGTTCTAATAAACCTCCGTCCTAGCAGCAATCAAACAATCCAACCACCCGACCGCGCTGCCAAATCGAACACTACTCCCTCGATCTCCCACACCAGAATTGATGAACACACGAAGTGATCGAGGCAGCACATCGAATTGTGCAAGAATCAATCGACCCGTCAACTCTCTCTCAACTGCACACAGCAAAGCAGCAGAGATCTCCGTTCAGGCAGCTGCTCTGTTGCCCTGCCCTCTCCCAGTATACTTCTAGGGTTTACTGTAAACCCTCCCGAGACCTAACTGCGGTTAAGGCAGGTCCTAAACAAGCGAACTCTATTACTTTCACAACCTGCACACGCTTGCAGACAAGGATCCGACACCGTTCCCTAGGCCTGGCATCAATGGCCTTCTTCCTGTCCTTTGCGACCAGATTTCCTATGGCAAACTGCGAAATACAGTATCGAACAAAAATGAATTACTGCTTCTTACCAGTTTGTACGTGGCTCTTGAGGCAGCAAGTAGTTTGATGAAGGCAAGGCTTACTGGGTTGAAGTCCTGTCCTTTGCTATCAGATTTCTCATGGCAAACTGCGAAATACGAATTTCTTGAAGTCTTGGACAATTTCTTAAATTTCGTGAATTTCTTGTCTCTAGCAATCTGTACGCGGTTCATAAGGCAGTAAGCAGTTTAATGAACTAGAAGGCAAGGTTTACTGGGCTAGAAGATTATATGTTTGGTGCATGGTGGTATATTCTCTTGATGGTTTAGACTACAAATCAATATGGGAATATTAAAGGTAGCTACCACAGTTATTCTTCCATCAGGGCGTGGCGTGGGCTGGGCTGTTTGGAAGAACGTGGTACCGAATGGCTTCACATCAGGGACTGTTGTGAGATGTGGTTCCGTGATTGTACTCGAACCCAGTACTTTGCCACTCGGAGCTACTGAGCTAGAATCGCGTTTGCGTGGCCACTTTAGGCCACATTAGGCCTGAGGCCACTTTAGGCCACATGAGGCCTCCGTAGTCGGGCTGCTTGTAACCGGCGCAGACTGTCGTCAAGGGCAGTCTCATGTCTCATCCCCGCTCCGGACCGGGAATAAATGCCAGGAATCATGATCGATCCCTCCAGCTGGAGGTTCGATGGAAAGAGATCCACCAGTCACTGGCATAGACCTTCAATACTAGCATCTCCACTTCACAGCGCCTCGAACAGGCGGCGCTTCGGATCGGGAACCACTGCCACCTCCCAGCCAGATTTGGCGGCTCCCCCATTCTGCAGCGTATTTAGAGCGGAAATCTTCCCCAGCTCAGGTTCCCTGACGCCAGTGTTGGAGCACCGCTGCACGCCCCCGCGATCTTTATAGTGCTCTGGACCTGAAAATAGCCTCTGCTAATGGCTCAAGTCGGGTCTCCACCGTCTCCAGAACGGAGTCGGGTCCCATACAACCGGAGTTGGGTTAAGGCAGTGGTACCAGCCAAGGAAGTGGGACACATTGGGGCACTTTTAGCTGATGTCTGCGATGTCCGGAAAGGGAGGAGCTGGGACGAGAATAGAGAGAGAGGGAGGGTACGAGGACGGAGAGCGCATTCTCAACGACAGTCATTTGGTTACGAGACGAGAACGAGAGTGGAGTCGAGTAGAGTGTATGTGTAGTGTGGACTCGGGGGAGTGGAGGTGGTGGGGTGGGAGTGGGGGTGTGGTGCGACGGACTCCTGCGTTTTCGTTTTCCTCACTCTTTGCCTCGGACGGGAAGCTACAGGACGTTCGGTGTGAGGAAGGGGCTAAATTCGGGATCGTTTGCTGTGTTGTCTTCAAGAAATTGGACTCGACGCTCGTTGGTCACTGATCGTTCTCGTTGTCTTTCCTCTGTCTGTCTCTCTTTCTCTTTCTCTTGCTTACTTCATTTGCTACCTTCCTTTCCTCGTCCTTGCTCCGTTCCCGTGTTGTCACATTGCTATCGCTGAGGGGAGGATCGCGTACAGAGGGTGGAAAGAAAAAAGTTGAACTGACTGGGACGCGACCATGGCGATGACCTTACTAGGTACTTTTCGTAACCTCGGGGTTTTGTTTCTCTTCTGTTCCCAAGGTCGTCTGTTGAATTGGATAGCGAAATTGCGAGATGAGTGCGAGCCACCACCAATTTTTGTTTTATGGCCGCGAGGGCAGTGAGGAGGAAATTCTTCTTTGTTTTGGGAAATTTGAGTGTGCAAAAAAAATCTCGTGTTTTTATTTTCGAGTGAATTGGCGTGTCGCGAACTGGGCTTACCACCGTTGACTTCCGTGGAATTCGTGAATCTTAAAAGATTATAGTGTGGAATTGAGGTCCATATCTGAAGATTTTGTTTTTTTAATTGTTCCCCGAGACACTTCGATCACGAGAACCTAGGAATTTATGGTCGAAGTGGCTATTGGATCGAATTACGATCGGTTGTCTTACTTCACTCATTCTATAGTTTAGGTCGGTCTTGTAGTTTTTAAAACCTTTTTATGAACTCTCTCCTTCCGTAGCATAAATGTGGATCCTTTTGCAAAAGCTTCGTTGTCTGCACTATACTTGTAATCCCTGAGACCCGCATAATCGTTCACACGATCTACGAGGACAATTTATAGAAATCTTCATCTTTTCGTTGCGTTGTTCCCAGAGCAGCATGATTTTTATTGTTGTCATATGTTGTCACGAAGTATCCAACATGCACCTGTTTTGCGTTTTCTCTCATCTCCATGCATTGTACTTCTCCGGTGTTGGCTTTTGACTAGGCACACCGGTATTTAATTTGTCTTCGGAGTGCAATCCACCAGGTTGCATGCGAAACATGTTGTTGCTGTACTGCTGGTACAAGTGGAACCTCACTGTATTGGCACAAGTTTTGATATCTGTTATAGTACTAGTAGGGGGTTAACAAGTGAAACAAGTGGGAGGGGAAGTCGTCAGCCCCTTGAAGGATCCATAACATTTCAAGATTTCAATTGGAGGTTGTTGCGCCGGGTTTCGATCCAGTTGATGGGTACAAACACTCAACTCGAGAGGCGGAGCTAAATTCACTAGTTCTGTTATCCCGGAACTCTGGAACCCTGAGGACCTTTAGCGGGAGCTCCTTGATACTGGCTCACTTTCCACGTTGACTACAGCCTCCCATTTCGCGTTCTGTATCCAGAAAATCCAAGCTTACATATCCCTTCCGCTGTACTTTTTTGCTTTTCTTTCAACAGTTCTTTCATTTTGAATTTCCTGGCTTGTTATCTGCACCTTGGCATTTGTTTTCAACTGCATACATCGGCATCGAACTTTTTCTCAGGCTGCATTCAAGTAGGTTGCATACCCATTCTGTATGCGAAGCGGAGCTTGTTCACAAGGTTGTTTTTTAGTTTACGTCAGCCCTTTACTTTCCCTTTCCTTTTTAGCTTTATATTGTCTTTCATATACACGTTCTATATTCGACTTGAAGGGACAAGTCGAGCTCCTTGCCGATCAATGAATAATTCTTTGAAGTAGCTTATTAAGTGCTGTTTACAGTGGAATACCGCCCAGTTTGAATTTCATCGCTAGGTTTTGTGTTATATATCATTACATGTCTCTTTCTAGTTTAGTTTAATGTTCTTCATTCATTATCGTTCGCATTCAATCTCCAGTCGAAGGAAATTCTTTCAGCTCTCTGGCATTGTGTTTTCCTTGCGCTATTCCGGTCTAAACCCTAAACCCAACCATGGTCTACACCTTCGCTTGTTGGGCGTTGAGATATAATGAGCCCCTGCGCGGTCTAGTGTAGAAACACATGCCCCTTGGTATCCACGGACGAAGCAGCTGAGACTTCTTGACTGGAATGTGATTCTTCCCGGTCAATTATTGTTTATGGTCAAAGGAGGATTTTCTTGCATCCGACTGATTCCTCTACACTGCACACTTACTACTCCCAGCACTGTCATTTAGATAGTTGCTCTCCTCGCTGCTTTCCATATTCCAGAGCTCTTCTTGGACTTGTTCTACTTTTGCATTCGTTGCTCTTTCGCTTTTTCAGCGTCTTTTTTGTTATTTCCATCCAGTAAAATATGTTAGCACATTTGAGACGTAACATCTAGATATGATACGCTTCGTTTTCTAGCACGCCAAGCCCCATAGGCTGATCACGTACTGCCTTATCTGTATGCGAAAGAATTTGGTTGCTAAGCTTCCGGCGCAATTAGATTCTTACTGTATTGGCACGCCTTGTACTTTCTGGCAGAGCACTGCCCGCTCACATTGAACTTGTACTCAGTCTTGATACATATATGTAGATAATAATTCTTATGTCCAGTGGTCCTGAACGTATTACGAGACCTTGCTTTGTATAAGCATATTTTCTTCAACAGTTTATGGTGTGCTAACTGCCTTACTTTTAAGACATGTCTTTCAGTAATCTATTTAGCGTATAAAATATGGATCAATTCTTTTTTTTATTTTGCTCTGGAGCTTTGTATGTAGGACTTTAGATCAAATAAATGCATGTTTCGCCTGACCCGCTTTGTCCCTTGTGGTCCTTGTGTGCATCCGCCGTGGCTGTGGTGATTCGTGGTTTTCTGCCGACTTCAACATCATCGAACTCCGTGAGCAGAGTGAGTCTTCAGCTCTTTTGAGGATGCAGCATTATATATAAAAGGAAAAAGGAGGTATGGCGGACTGGGAAGCTCACTTTGCTGGTTGCTTGGGACCATGCAGGCTAGCAGGATTGGCGTTTATGTTTTCTGTGGGGATTCTCTTGCAGATTCTGGTATGTCTTGATTCAGAAATTTTTGTCTTTGATCATGCACGTCTGTTGGAAAAGTAGGTATGGTTAGTATTGTGCTTCTCGTTCATATCCTACAAAGTCAATTATGTGTTGCAGTTCGAGATTGCATTTGGGTTTACATTCTTGCATCTGCATGGTCCACATAGAGGACATGTCAGTTGTGGTTTTGAGTTCTGCGCAGCGGATATGTGATCTTCTTGTGCAGTCTTGATGGCATCCTCATTTTTCATAGATTATACGTTTGGGAAGACATGTGAAGTTTCCAATGTGCTCTTACCTGTGAACTCCTTGTATTGACAGGGTTGTGCTCTGTACAATAATTGGTGGCCAATGCTTTCAGGTACTTGTGCTAAACATTCCTTTACAATATGAATAGGCGAGTGAAGTAATCGAGGCTAACACTATTATTGTGAAATATGTTTTACCTACTATGTTCGTGCATGACAGAGGTATGAGGTCATATAAGGTTGAGAAACCAATCATACCATTGCCAAAACCTCTTCAAGTAGGAAAAATACTCTATAAAAACTGTTTACCACCTCCAGTTAGCACGTCAATTATCTCCAACGCATCGTTTACATAATCAGAAGGTACTGTACAATAATGTTGAACATCCTAGAAAGCTTACTGAAGATTGGGATTTAGTTTATACGCGTGAAGCAGATCCGTTGCTTCAAGGTCTACGGAGAACATCGATTTCATTCTCTTAACTTTTTGGATCTGGATAATTGTTTAACGTGGATGTATGTCCACATATCGTAAACGTCGCTTCCACGTCTCCCGTGTAATCTGTATTGGGTTTGCCTTGCCGCAAACACCATTCACCTATACGCCTGAGGAGGCTGTGCTGATTATAACGATAATGGATTCAAGTATGGTACCAATTTCCCTGTAGCAGGTGACGTGTTATGTATTCTCCACTAGGAGACATAGATAGCTAGTATCTGCACTGGCCTCTGGTTCCAAATGGCCTCGATGTATTTATTTCTATCGATAGGCTGTACTTCAGTCATCTTCGGGTCGAGAATTCAGGATAGCAGCTTTTGGAAGTTACACACTCAGCTTGCTTGAGCCCTACGCTTAGTATGTTCCTTGTCTTGCAACGTCTGAAGAAAACTGTGAATAATCCTTGGGTCAAGAACGGTGCCTTCACATTGGCCCTGTGGTGACCCATCGTGGATGAAGTAATACACTGGTCACACGCGCAACTCTTTTGAGAAAAGATCATGCTTTAATTGATGCCTTTGATTTACTTGTAATGCCCTTCTCAAGCTCTCTTCAAGTCGCTGCATAATGGGCCCAGATGTAAAGATTCTGAACTTTATGCAAGCGCTTGCATCTTGGACACAAGTGTCTTGACCAATAAGATATCTGTATCCAAACGCCGGCTTAAGATCTACTCACACTTGACACACTATGATGTCTTTTGTGCAAGTGTTGCTACCATCTCAGTGGCCACGAATTCGAAAAGATGCATCCTGAATCGAAAGAGCACGGAATTGATTACTTCGTTATGCTAATTTGCTCGTGATGTCAACTTGCAGCGCTGATGTACGTAATGGTCCCCATGCCGTGCTTATTTTTCGGAGGAAGTTCTTCTTCCGACTTTCTCTCGATGTCCGAAGGAGGAGAGTAAGTCACTTCACATCTGTTACCTTTGTTGAAAGTGTCATAATTTTGAAAACTTTGTCCTCCTTTATCTTGATTATATGGCAGTCACCAGTATCCGTGAGTGGTAGTATTAGCAGGAGGCCCCATCAACGAATGAATTGTTTATCTGCTTGTTTGATCTTCGTTTCTGTTTGAGTCTGGGTAAGCCTTCTGTTCGATCATATTCGGAGTTGGAGACGTGCTTAGATGATAAAGGGATTATGATTTAGACTGCCGAGAACTCACGTATCATCGCACAACAGTTTGCAACCATGTAACCTTTACTACAGTTTCAAAAATACCAGCAAATGAATATGTCCGCAACTCCTACCTTCTGAAATTCTCGTCCTCTCTCTCCGCTTTTCCTCTCCCGACGCATTACTAATGCATTAAAAGATATTCGATGTTCCCTAAAGATTCCCTCATATCACTCTCACTAGTCACAATAACTGTTAGTAACCTTCGAATCAAACATCATCAATTAGGGACCCACGTATCTCTATGTGTACGCTGTTAATATTGTATTGTAGATGTTTGAAATTATGATTTTGATGTCTGTGTCTGTTCTTTACAGCTGGAAGGATGTGGCGAAATTTCTCACGGGATTCTCAGCAGTTATGAGTGTCGCAATTCCGGCTATACTGCATCATGCCGACCTAATAGAAAAGGGGGCAATGCTCCTCGAACTTTTGTCCTTCGCCATTCTACTTTGTACTGTAATATTGTTTCAAAAAGTAAACCAAGAAGATGACTGGTGATGATTTTGTCTCGGAACTCATCCCTTGAACGCGACCATTTGTCGTTCTCAAGGTAGCGTTGCCATCTGCATTGTTTTGCATCAGGTTCATTTGTCAAATATTCATATGGAACAGCTAGTGCTTACAGTATAGGGACCTTTTTGCTCGAAGAAAAGAAAGGTGATAAACTTGTACAATTTGTCAAATTCTTTGTCGAAGTGACAATCTATATGTATGTGGAACTGTGCGATTTCCTGTCCTGCTCGGAGTTGTCTGCAACTTCTTACAGTGCGTAAACTACTCATTCGATTTGATTTTTCAAGAAGACCCTTGCGACTCTTGACAAAGAGCCCCACTCGATGACATGGTAGCACGACTTTGTGGTAAGCCTGCCATGGAGCTCGCTGTAGAGAAGGATGGAATGTGGTGGCAGGCAGCGTGTAGCGTGTGATGAAGGCGGTGATTGAAGGAAAGATTAATGTTCTCATTTCTTTTCAAGTCTTGTGGGTCCTGATAAGATCCAAAAGCGTCTGCTCCTCCCGAGTACACAGACGGAGGACGACAACTGCGGCTTTCTTTCATATGGAAGCATTGAATACCATCTTTGCTTGAAGCTTGAATCTGGAAGCTTGAAGCGTGTGGGCCATGTGCAGAACCGCCGTGGGGATAGTGTAGGTTTGAAGATTTCGTTGTAATACTTTGGTAGCACCTGCGAAAAGGAAAGTCGGCATTACTCTCCCTTGTGCTAGTAGACCAGGTGGGTCCGAGAGCACACCCCCTTTCCCACATAACCAAGTGGAGTCCGTCTCTCAAGACAAAGGTCAATGGTCTCATAGTCCACTGTTGACACGCTTTGGAGGAGACTGCCTGTGCTCGCCAACTCGAGATAAGTCTATAACGACCTCCTCCTATGCACCTTCAGTATGTCGAATACTGTCTTCCACCGGTCGGACTAAAGAGCAGCAGATGGTCTGCATCATGACCTACTCATGAGTCCCAACATCTGACTATGCCCCACACACATACACACTCGACCCCACCACCCACATCCCAGAGCTATCCTCGCTAGCACAGGCCAACAGTTTACCCGTCTCTCGGGCGCAGCCCTTTCCAAAACTGTCAGTACTTTTCCGTGAACGACTTCATCAGTCCAGATACCCCGCAGCATTGCTGGAAATCTTCGACTGTCCCCTCCCTTCTTTCTCATCTCCCTCTCTCTCTCTCTGTCTCTCACTAGTATCAAGTAGTCGCTCCTTTTCCGTGTGCCTACATCAATGCGGAGGAATTTGGCAGAAAAGGAGGAAGCAGAATTTTCGCTAGTGCGAGAAGACCTCTCCCCGAGGGTTAGGTGTACATTACAGAGGAGGCCAACGCCCCGACGCACTCCCGGATTGGCGTGGAAAGAAAGGGATGGTTATTGGGGCCGGCCTGTAACGGCTGACCGTGCATGTGTCTGAAGGACGACGCAGCCTGAGCCTGCGCCTGCCGGCCTGCGCACAAGCGCTTTTGATCGCCGAGGGCTGCAGGGCCGTACCGAGAACGGATCAGGCCTGCAGAGGGCAAACAATAAATGGCCGAGAAGATTCAAAAGCGGCTTGGAGAGCGAGAGAATGAGCGAGCCATCGAAAGATTCAGCGAGTGATGTGATAGTGCGGTAATTCTGACGAGGAACAGGCGGAGTTCACGGGACGGACGAGACTCTGATGCTGGAATGTGAGGCTCGGTGCTTCGGGGTCCCACCATCGGCGTCTCGGCCCCGGCAGCCTTGCCGATGGTGCCTCTCCGGCTCTCCGGGCCTCCGGGCCTCCGCTCCGTCCCGAACGTGGGTCGGCTCACTCGAGCCCGATGGTGCAGAGCCGTCCCCGAGGTCGGGCGGGCAGACAGGGACGAGCTTGTCCACGACTGACACGGCACAACATCGTGACTTCTGAGCCACGCAGGCTCTGCCCAAAAGCTTCGCAGAAACAGCGATTTCGCAGTTCGAGTGAATCCGGTCGCTGCTCGGACTCGGACCCTCTTCCTCTCATCCTCTCCCCTGTCTTGGAGCAGCTCATCTCTCCCACTGTCATTCTCCTTGCTTGCTCGGATCTCGTAAATGGGGGATGAAGCTATGGTCGCAATTCGTTGTTGTTGTTATTGTTGTTGTTGAGTAGGGCCCGGAGCCTAGAGTCGAGTCGACCGACACATGCAACCCCACACGGCCCTTTAACATTTTCCGGCAGATCTTGGAATTTTGTATGATTTTTGACACGGATACGACGGACGAGGACGACTTCCAGCAGCTGGTTTGGAACAGGAAAGGGGCACAGATGGTTTGCTTTCCGTCGACTGGCGAGGATTGTGAGAGGGCTTGACTTCGGATGCAATTCATTCTCGCCTGCAGGCAGCAGCTGCCGAATCGGGGATTGCCGCTTGTCTTTCACTTGTTTTGTACTGTGGGAATTCATTGCCACACTGCGCAGTGGAAAGTGAGGTGGTCATTGAACAGCCGAAGTCGGTCCCACCTAATCAATCCTCTCTGTCACTCACGTTCACCATTTTAACATCCCTCGCCCGCACATACCTCATATAGAAGTCTCTCTCTCTCTCTCTCACTACCGCAACCCCGCCACCCTGCCCTCATGCACATGCAGCTGCATGTCTCTTCACCTAATACTTGGGTTTCGCTCGAGCCTCCTTCCGTCCATGCCTGTTCATGTGGATATATCCTGTTGGTCGTGCGCCTATTTCCCCCCCTTTTTCTTCACGCCTTCAGTTGTACATCCCCATTCTGATTCTCTGAAGCTCCCAAACTCCACCACACCACACCGTCAGCTGAAAATTCTCCAGAGCAGACATGAAACAGCAGTTGCGGAGCAGGTGTGATGCGCTGATGAGTTCCCCATCGCACCTCACCTCACCTGCTGTGGTCCGGCAGAGCCCAGCTTCGGGTCGAGGATAAGGATCTATGGCTCTTTGCAATGAGGAAATTCACAAATTTGTTCCTTCGAAGTGGAAAGCGTTCGTGTGTCCGGGGTGGCATTTAACAAGAGTCACCGTGAATAGAATAGAATAGGGGTGTGTCTTTTTCTCACTTTACGTGCGCCAGATGGATAGAGTTGTTAAGAAATGTGGTATATGGGTAGGTACTGGAGGTGGAATATCAGTCTGCTAAGTTTGATGATATCTAGGGGGCATCTGAGTCCATTATTCTGCTTGGAACCAGACAAGTGCAATTGACCTCTCTATGTTGGAGGATATAGGTCGAGCAGCACATCATACCAGCCGAAGTTTGCGTCACGGCAAGATGTGGAAGGTGAACTTGAGGCCTCGAAGAACACATATGGGGAACTAGAGGAACATTTGCTCCTCAAGTAAGGATGAAATATGGGTGAAATTGAGCCCGAGTTTCCTCGAACCTACCCGTTGACAGCTTTGTTCCTTACAGGTACATTTAGGATATCATATCGAGAATAAGGGAACTTGATTTGAAGCTGGAGGTCAATTTCAAGTGGTCTAGACATTGACAATGATGACTTCATGGAGTGCACACTCAGATTTCTGCGAAACTGGTGACATGGAAGATCGATCGCATAAAAAGTATCTTGCTGCCATCCGTTGTTTGAAACTTCATTTGCCGATTCTATCGATGAATTTACACCATGTAGTTAAGCAAAAAAGCATGAAAATACACATGAAGTCCGACAGCGATTCAAACAAGTGAGTATAACGGGCTAGTCTCCGTAATGTCACAATGAGGAATGGTAGTTCTTCCAGCTAAAATATTGAAAGTAGTGAACTTAAACAATCCACTGGCAAAATAGCATAAAGAGTCATCATCTAATTGTCACGAAACACCAGCTGGTGATCTTGGGGAGAAAGGAAAACACATTGACTAAAATAATATATACCATAAAATATTGATTTTTTAACCTCTCAAACAGTTTATTTTACAAATATGTTGCATAGATCTATGTAGTTTGCATAAATATATCAAGCAAGCTAGAGCAAGAAATATGATTTATGAGTTATTATTGCTCTAGTTGCACTCTATATAAATCTACGGAAGCTATCTAGGCCCTATGAGAAGAGCGTAGCTATGAGTAAATTTTGTGGGTCATAACATTCAAAACGCCAAGCTTTTCACCGTAAACAGTACTTCTTCACAACAAGCTTGGAAGGTTCATTCATTGCTTCTCATTTTCTTCCTCTTTTCGTACATTTTTACTGCTGTCAATTCAATCAGGAAGATCATGTGTGGTTCACGGGAAACTTTTCAACCAAAAGAACGAAAAAAACGTTATGAAAACATTATTATCGTTATGAATCGTCTTCCCAAAAAGACCATCCATAACCAGCAAGCAATTCCACAGATTTTCAAAGGAGGAAACATCGAGGAGATCACAAACTTCTGAAAGCAGGTCTGCATATCTCGAAATCTCGAGAACCTCTCACCGACTCTATAAACTAATTGGACAATCCAGAAGTAGGAAGGCCCGACAATCCGGGAAGGTATCTCTAACATGTCCGCACCGAGAGAGATAAACTATACGGAATCGCCTAAAAACAGCCGGTGCAGGAAAATATATTCCCAGAAGAAGAACGGCTCATCATACGATTTCTGGGCTCTGCCGTCGGGAGCCATGCAAATTAAGGCTGTCTGGGATCTTCAGAGCACGGTCAAAACCCTGAGCCGAGTATGGGCTTGAAGCCAAGTGTAGAAGATTGGGCCGACCAAGTGTGATTCAGTTTTGGGACGACCAAGTGTTGGGCACTCGCCACAACAAATATTTCCGGTTAGGGTAGGTCACATACAGAGGTGTTCGGGCCTACAGGTGTGTGTGCGTCTGGTGGACTCGCCTCTCGTTGGGTCGCGAAGGACAGACAGCATCGGCAGCCGGCCGCTCCACCTCCACCATCGCAGACGCCTGCGCCGGGGGCCCCAACTGCCTCCGTCCCGGGCCGTGGAAGCTCCCGGCTCCGCGGGCCCGGGTTCGCCTGAAACTCCCGGTCATTCTGAACTGCTTTTTCTTTTCTTTCCTTCCTCTCTGTATCGGGTAAATCCGATTTCCTTACTTGTTACTCCGGATCTTACCCAGGGCGTCGGAGGAGGTTAATGCGTTGAATTTACCTACCCAGGGAAAGAGGACGGGCTAAATGATTGTGGCGGTGTGCATTTTGTTCCCGGCGGAATGCGTTTTTCGTCGGTGGTTTTCTAGGGCCACATTTCCTTCCGGATTTATTTCGTTGCGGCGGTTTGGACTTGTGGAAGAATTCGGCGATGGAAGTCGTATGAAATTTATGCTATTTGCAGCAGACAGGAGCGGAGTAATATCGTCGGTCGACGAGTAAATGATTCTGTTTCATCGGCTTGATTCAATAATCAATCATTTACACGAATCAGACGAAAGAGCATCTCAATAAATAGGAATATAAAATATTATATTATATATTCTCTCATGTCATCTGGTGGTCTAGTTTTTTAGTCGTTAGAACTTATATAACACTTTGACTTGGCAGCAAATTTTCCGTTGGATTTTCATATCTGCTTCTCAAGTTCAAGGATTGTGAAGTAAAGTTTCAGATGTAAAAATCTAAGCAAATCATTGGAGAACATGCTTTGATGGATAAAAGGTGGGACGGAGGCAAGAACAAGCAAGGAGCTTCTTTATGTACATTTCGTGGCGTGCCAGCATCGGTAAGTTCAGAATGATATACATCTTTGCATCTACGCGTATTTTGTACAAATAAAGTGGAAGCAAGTTGCTAAAGTTCTACTTTTATTCTCTTTCATAGATACTTCTTCTTATCCTAAGATAAGATGAAGTGAGCGTTGAACTGCAACTTATATTTTGATAGCGTGAAGCGATTACGTTGACTAATCGCTCAGATATTGATGTCAATTTAAATGGTTTTAGTGGTTGCATTCAGAAGCCTGTGAGTAGCTAGCTACTCACATACTCCCAGCTGTGTAATCGCGTTGCGCAACCAGACTCGTGGATCCTTGTAGCGGTACCTTCTCAACTGATGATCTCTCTGCTCTTATTTTATTGGTATTTTTATGTTAGAACATTATTATAACATGTAAATAAAGCATACGATAGACTTCAACATCTTATAAGATCTCACGATATCCATCGTCGATTTCGCGGGAATTATTCTTTGAAGGTGGACACCATCGCAACTTCAAGAAGTCGACTGCATATTCATGAACCCCGAGACCGAACCGAACATTGAACTGCATATTCATTCGAATTTCGTCAGCAATCAGAACATGATTATGAGTCAGGTTCTACAACTTTCACAAATTCCACCGGTTGACCACAATAAAGGCACAACTGGAGGATCTAGAGATGCAGAAACTATGATTGATAATTCCAAGAGAATGAGTGATCTTTAGTTCCAAAGAAGAGCAAGGATCTGTGGGCAGAATTCGCTGAATCAACGAAGGATGGAAGGAAATAATGGAACACGGTGAAGTTCCAGGACTTTCTTTTCTTGCGTGGAAAAGTCACAGCGTAATGAACGCACAGTGCAGAGGTCATTAAGGTGTAAAGTTAAAGGATTCATAGCAGTCCACAACAATGATGTTTCACTTTCATCAACTTCCTCACATATGCGGGCACTACTCCCATTTCTCCCGTACATCACCTGGAACCATTTCGAGACAGTTTCGTACATGCTCCCTTTAATACCATCATTGACCTTTCTCTTAGGAGTTCCAATCCAGCTCGAGAAAAAAAATTCAAAGATGAAGATGAAAGGTTGTTAAAAAATACCCGTTTTCTTAAATTTGCTATGGGTTCCAAACTGTAGTTCCCAATATTTTAGAATCTACTGTTCCATACTTAGCTCGACGCATTAAACATTAAACAACACTCCATGGGCATTTAGTTGAAAAATGCTCTCCAGCATTTGACCGTAAAAAAATATGTGTCTAGATAGGCACATGTTAACTCGCGGAGCCCAACCGAATTCTGCTCTTCTTGCATGCCAATCGAACAAGCTAACATGAAACAACATCATGTCACGATAGTGATGCAAGACAAAAGTCTCGACCCTATCGATGGCAATTCCAACTGCATCAACCTAGGCATGCACATTAAAGGAGGATGTCAATACTCCTGGGATTGTCATGTTCCATAACAGGAACGTAGAAAAAGAGCAAAAGACATGTTCGTTAACACATGAAGATGGACCTATGGGTATGCTGGAATATATGAGGCTTCAGGTCTTGCTCCTTTTCTTCCGAAGGAAATCAATTGTATCGCATGTGCTCCTCTCCTCACCTCTATGCAGATTGGCAATTTTCAGCAGTGGACTTTCAACTTCCTAGCCCGGTGACAAACCTCCTACTCAACGAACCAAATCATCATGGCATCAACTTTCAGGAAGACTATTTCTCTCAGTTTATGCTACCAGAGCAAGCCATTTATGTAAGGTTGGTGATGCTACTCATACATAAAATCCTGCCATATCCCAGGTGTCGTAGAGGATAGAATTTATTGCTGTAAAGTGTGCACTGCAACTGCAGTCGAGGCCATCCATCGGCCCACCCCACTCGAGCAGGTGGAATTCTGCCTCCAGGCATGGCGACCTTTTGAGCTTCATGGAAAGCACCTTTTGCCAGAAAATTGCCGTAGCACGCATACGTTCCGCAGCTCCAGCGCCTGATTCAATAAAGACATAAAACAAAGTCCGGGCCGAGGAGGTGTCCAGGCGCGCCTGGCTCACAACCCCGTTACGAAACGATGCACAAATTCGAATTTGCATGCGTGCGCCAGCGGCCAGAGGAACGGCCCGTTCCAATGGACTAACAGCATTCGAGGCCGACACTTGGCTCCCCCGACCCCACTCCACTTCCGGCACAGGCGAGCGAGCTTGCTTTTCACGGTGGCCGGATTTACGCGCAGGGAGAAAATTCTCAAAAGTTTTCAAATTCTCTAGAGGACGAGGGCGGAAATGGGCGAACACGTGGCGTAGAAAAGAGTCAAGATTGCGGTCAAACTGTCGAGTGTCCGTCGATACGGAATCTTGACGGCTGACGGACCAGGAGAGTTGCCGGTAACCGGAAGCGGGAGGTGGACCAGAGGCGATCGCATAAATAGCGGCGGGGGCGCGGGGGCGAGTGTTAGGAGAGGGTCCAGTATAAGTTCTTTCCTTGCTCCGCAACAATCCTTCCCTTCCCGTCCCGTTCTGGCCCGTCCGTCCTGATCCCTCGGCCGCAATCCTCCGTCCCTTCCCTCGACAATTGCTTCTCCTTCCGTTGTCAGACGGAGAGACGGACAGAGACACAGACGACGCTCCTCCCTCTTTGTCCTCTGGCCTCGTTCGCTGCGCTTCTCTTCTCTTCGCTTCTCGTATCGTCTCGTCTCTCGTCTCGGCCCTCTCTTGACGACGGGTCGGGGTCGAAGCGGATCCAATCTTTTTTGAAATCGCCGACCTTCGAGCGCAGATTGAAGCGAGGGTGAGCTGCAAAGCGCCCCTCTATGTATGTACTGTATTTTTTGGGGGAATGCGGTGAGATTTTCCGGCCAGTTTTGATGAAGGCGCGGACGTGAGTGCACACCCGAGGCAGGACAGCTTTCTTCGGGTAAATATCGACTGTGATGCCGGAGAAGGTTGTCGAGGAGACTGAAGAAGACTGCGATTTTGCTACGGAGGGAGGAGGAGGAGGTGGAGGAGGAAGAGCAGGTTTTCGGGGCCTTGGTGGCTTTTGTGGAGGAAGGCTGCCGGGTGGAGCAGGTCTGCGTGGTGGTGGCGGATTTCGCCGGATCGATCTGTAGTCTGGATTTGGTTCCTTCGAGTTTTAGGCGGGACTTTGAAGTTTTTTTCGGGAGGCTTGATAGTGTGTGTATAATTGTTGTCTAGGTCTTTTTATTTTTAATTTCCTGAGAGGCGGGAAGGTGGTGCTGCCTTCCGGAGGTGTGACATTTCCGCACGGTGTGATGTTAAATCGCAACTTTTAGGCTTCCACATTGAGATCGTTTTGAATCTTTAGCACGAGTCGGGTCCGAGCGAAGCAGTGCCCCACTTGCATTACTGATTGTGACAGCAGAGATGGCAGCGACGGCTGCTCTGGGTTTGAACTGCGTTCCATCGGATCACCGATGCACGGCGCAGGTCTTTGCTTCACAAGAATGTGCTTCAGCGAAGTTTGTATCTGGCTCCTTTTGGGAGACATGTAAGCTGAGACCGGGAAGACTAGAGGCTCGAACAAGGAGTATTTCATGTAGATTGGCCTACAACAAAGTTGGTGAGAGAGATGATCATGGGAGTGACCCAAAAGATCAGTCCGCAGGAAACAAGAGCAGGAAGCCGAAGTATTCAAGAGCTGCCACCGTAGGATCAGGCGCGGCAGTCGTGCAGGAACGAAGTGCCCCGCATAATGGAGCCATCATGGGCACTGCCTTATTGACTAAGGAACTCACCGAAAAGAAACCTGCGTCGCTACCGGATGGCGCGTTGGGCGGCCTCATCGACAAGGGCCTCGTGTACAGGGAGAAGTTCATCATTCGATGCTACGAAGTCGGGACGAATAGGACAGCCTCTATGGAAGCAATGGCAAACCTTTTGCAGGTAAATTGAAATTTCTGTTTGTTTTCACGGCTGCCCGCGTATGACGATCAATCTTCATTTCAAAGATTCACCATTTAATACGCCGTATTACGTTTTGTAAACGCAACATGGACCAGCGGCAGTCACTTATCGACGTCCGTGGTCAAGGTCTTTTCACCGTTTTTTTTTCCCTTGAGCTTACTCATGATCTGCCACATGAAGATTGTGCCGAGTTCATTCCCTCGAAAACCCATAAATCTAAACCATTGCATCTGATATCATCTCCTCCCATCAGCTGGTCTGGAGATTGATCGGAGGAGTCATTGTGCATACGATTAGTCTACTACATGATTGACGGTTGCCTGAACATCAAGAGACTGAATACTCCTTTACACTGTACAGGAATGCGCATGTAATCACGCACAGAGCGTCGGTTTTTCTACTGATGGTTTCGCGACGACTCCAGCCATGAGAAAACGGCATCTCATATGGGTCACCACAAGGATGCACATAGAAATTGATGAGTATCCAGTCTGGTACGTCACTTTCAACTCACAGCCTGTCGGCCGTATATTTACGAGTTTCCTCATCAGAAGAACGAACGCTAAAGTATGTCGTCGGGATAGGAAACACTGGAGATGTACTTTTTGCAACTGCCTTTCCCATTGTCTACAGTGCACTTCGAAGGTGTTAGCAATCTCCTGAGTATGTAGTTACTTTGTCCCGCACACTTCCGGGATTCGTCTCACTTCTCAATCTATGGACCAGTCTGCGGGCCTGCGCGTCCACTCAAGTAACAGATCAGTCTACTCGCACGACAGGTCACGTGTTCTGCATGTTTCTTTAAACTCTTAATGGCAACAGTACTGCGAGCTGACTCTTTCGTGTTGTCCATTCAGGGGCCAGGTCGTTGAGATTGACACTTGGTTTCAAGGAGAGGCAAAAATAGCTACTCGGAGAGATTGGTTAGTCAGACACGAAGATGGTCGTGTTATCGGGAGAGCCACCAGGTATCATGCACGTCCCTGGAACGTCCTTCTGTACCTCATACGAACATTACTTCGTTCAAATCTTAACTTCCAGTATTTACTGCTGAAACTGTCGACTTGTATGTACAGCGTGTGGGTGATGATGAATACGGAAACCAGGCGTCTTTGTAGAATACCCGAAGACGTGAGAGCAGAGTACATGGACTTTGTTCCTCTGCCTCCGAGGTACTTGAATTCTAATCTCAAGGACTCTGATGATGTTATCCTGCGTCTCTGAGCACGAAGAACAGCCTCAATTGTTTTCGAATTTATGAATTCAGACAGACGACAGTGCTGACCAACTCCAACTTTTGTCGTTATATTGGGAAAGACGTTTATTCAGCGAAATTTACGGGATCGAAGCCACTTGGACTGTCCCAATTCCTTTGTCCGGCAAGTGCGACAACATGGGGTTATACTCAAGTGCAGTTTTCGCCTATAGGTACAGTATCGCTTACATATTCTCACCACTAAATGACCGTTTCGTAGGTGGGCTATTCCTGGAGAAGATTCAGCCGCAGTCAGGAAAATTGGAGCTTTGGAGGAGTACGATTTTGTCAAATCCCCTCTTCTGGTAATTGAATTCAACAAAAGCTTTTTACGGTCGACAGGACATTCGTATTCTTGTATTCCATTTTTTCTCGGGGCTATGTTTTTCTTAGTGGTGATGATACGAATTATTACGTGTCTTCGAAGTAAATGTATCTTACTGGTCGCTGTCATTGACAGTATTTTAATCACAATTCTTGTTTCTGATTTTCACTAATTCGAACTTGAAGAACCCTTACATGTCCATTTAACGTGTAAGGGTGTCTGTATTGTTCTTCTAAGCTCTAGGACAATAGTCGCGATTCGAGACTAAGTTTTTGGAACAAATTGTTACTTCTTCTGAGTAGGCAAGGCGTAGCGACTTGGATATGAACCAGCACGTCAACAATGTGACGTACATGGGATGGATGTTGGAGGTAAACTTGCTTGCCTGGCTTGAATCGCAGTTGTTCACTTGGTATACACGTTAAATTAAAGTTTCATAATCTGATCGGTACTCAAAATTGTCGACTTCTGTTTCTCGTTCAGAGTATGCCAAGAGCGTTCGTGGAGACTCACGAATTGATGTGCATAACGTTAGACTACAAACGGGAGTGCAAACACGATGATGTTGTGGAGTCTATGACGAGCCCTGAGTCAGTAGAAAGGAACCCGTCTCAACCAGATATGAAATCATTGAACGGGAGTCTTGAATCTGTCACGAATGCGACCGCCAGACAATCAGGTGACATACCTCAGCCACGGCATTTCACTCATCTGTTAAGATTAGTGGACAGTGGTATCGAGATCAACAGAGGGAGAACGGAATGGAGAAGGAAAGTTTTGCGGGATGATAGCCACTGATACAGGCGCATGGCTTAGAACCCAGGTTGAGATCTACTACATGACTGATTTTCTTCCGTGACCAGCACAACAGACTGATCGATTCAGAATTTATCCATTCATTCAGCTCAACTAGTATAGTTAAGAAAACATATCATTCGTTTCCCAGGAAGTAAGTTGTCCTTCATGTATACATGTGTCATTGTGGTCTATTCTTGACTTGTAAAGCTGTCGCACTGCGGAATCCAATCCTCATGGGCTTAGAACTTGGCAGAGGTTACCCGGAACATTTACACTTACTTCGAGCAATACACAGGAGCAGGTTCTCTCTCACTCTTTTAAGTTTATTTGTGGTATCTCTGGGAAGCGAAGTCGCGATGCTGCAAATATTTGGCAGAGAAAGTCAGATCAGAAAGCTGAACATCCCGGCGGAACTGGATAGAACGACATAACCATGGGAATATCAGCAGCTCCAACAGATCTGAGGCGATAGTCCAGCTCGAATCCCAATTGTAAAAACTGCAAAGTTTTGATCAAGTTAAATACGTGTAGTCTGTTTTATCTTGAATTCCGCCATTTGAAAATATGAATGAGACTTGAAATTTCGCCCCGTTATTTGCCTCGTGAGTGTCTCGTCCTCATGTGAATGTTTTGTCATGTCATCTCGTCATTTTACTGTGTGGTAAGTCGCCTGTTACATCTTCGTTCCTTGTGCACACGGTTCGCATCACAGCAACGAGATCTTAAGCAAATGCGCGTGTGATGGTTTATGATGTCAATCCTGTCGGCAATAGCCTCCCGGGATGAAGTCGTCGCCTTTCACAGTTCTCTGCATGTGTTTTAAGGGTGGCGTTCATATCTGTATTTTCAAATGTGGCATTTATATTTGTATCTACGTATAGTTTCATATGATCATATACTTACTTTAGCTAGTTTCCATTATCCTCATTGCGTCTAGCTGAGCTAAAGCTTTGTCCACACTAGCAGGTCTCGATCGATAGCATTAGACAAGACAAAATGGTGGGCTCAGGATGGGTGTGCCCAAAATTTTCATAAATTCCACCTACTACCTACACGAAAGTACCGACGATGTATGTGGGCAGCAAGGGCCTATGGACTTTCAGTAACAAAAATGGATTTTTTTACACTGTACACACTCCGTTTAATAATATCGGTCTATAACTCTTGCAGCTCGATACCAGTCTGGTTTGAAACTCATCTGATAACGATTAGGTTCAAATAATAACTGATCACACAAACCATGTAATAGTAACCTGGTGGTGGAAGCGACACGAAAAGAGAGTTTTCTAAAGGAATTCCAAACAAGACTCGAGATTATAAACAGCGTTGTCCACTTTCCGCTTTCGATTCTTGAAACTTATTCCCAGGCAAGTTTGGTACATAATTATTTTATATCTGTTCGGATAACATAGAAAATTTATTTTGCTTGCTCAGTGGAGATCATAAGATTATTTGTATATTACCTTCTCAGACTGAATGTTGATTACAACGCCTCAGACCTTCTGTGAAACTTTCTCGAACTATCATCATTGAAAATGAAAATCCTGACAATCTACATGCTTTTACCACTTTATTTGCATTCTCCGGAAAATCCAGCCAACTGATATCAACTAGTTCTTACAACTTCCAAGTCATTCACTGAACCATTCCCATACATCACACTTGCAATTTTATAGATTTCAGGTAATAAGAAATATTTCTTGAACCGATACATTTGACATTTCAGCCTTATATTAAACCTTCAAACATATGGATATGTTTGAATTTAAACAAACAGATCCATAAGATCGGGTCGATTTCATTTCTCGTTTTGAAAGACATCAACATACACCATCGTAAGACATGGAAAGTTACGTAGCTTATATCTTCCAACAGCAAAAATGATATAATCATAAACTTTTTACTATATTCTTCAACCAACTATAAGTCTCCTTTGCATCATAACACCTTGTACTCTTCCATTCAACTCAATATTTGAACATGCTGATTTTAAAACCATCTGCAAAAGCTTCAACATGGCCAAGATTTATTTATGCATAGAGAAAAAAGAAAAACTAAAAATTCACTTCAATTAATGATTCTTTAGTTTATTGGATTCCAGCATTCAATTTTTGATATAAATTTACAACAATTCTTTTATTTCATGATTATATTATTAGCCTACAATATATTCTACTTTTGAGCACACATCAGTTTCATTTCTAATATGGAAGGTTTGATGTGGCAGCGCAATTCAGAAATTAATTTTTACTATTCCATTGATGATCATCTTCAACTTTAATATTGTCTTTCATTGAATCACTTATGTCTTTTTTTCTTCACTTCCAATCAATGATTCATTTACATTGAGATAAAATATGAACTTGATATAATCTTTCAATAACTTCATAATAATCACGTAAAACATATTTTTATTTGATATGTAATATGTAGATATTGCAATTTGAATTTAATAGTGTACTTATCCTTGCACAATTTTAAAACTTTGGTATGTGCGTTTGATTTTTGAGTGAATAGAAGTTGTAGATGTGAATTGGATAGAAATATTTTTCACATCATTATTATAAATTGATTGATCTTTTAGTTGAATTATTTACTAAATTAAATGTATGATTTTATATTTCTAAAATGACCAATTTTATCTTAAACATAATCCAGAATGGTAATGAATGTATCTGCAATGTATAGGTTATAATATGCTTGTTTTAATTCCTATATAATTTCAAGAATTGATGTGATAATTGTACAATTGTAAGAATGTTATTGTGATTATATGAGCTCATTTTTTAGAATTTTTATGAAGCATGAAGCACCCAAAATTATAGTTTATTCTTTCCAAATGCCTATCTTCTCAAGTAATAATTCAATATTGAAACTATTCATTTGAAATATTGAAAAATTGACTTTTACTTTCAATCTTTGGCTAGCTTGTTCTTGAGCTATTTTTTTATATGATATGTTGCAATATATAATATGTTTTACTTTGTAGAATTTTTTTTCCAATCATGTCTATGGATCTTGTTATATTTTTCAGATATTTTTTTTCTCAAATGAAATTCTTGTTCATTACATGATTTTACAAAAAATCATCAAAATAGAAGATATTGATATCATAGACTTAAATTTTTGTGTGATCAGCTTTATATTTATAGATAAGGTTAGTTATAATGTTCATCATTATAACTATGAATATATTTATGAATATATCAAAATTTTCAAATTTTTTTGATAGTTTTGATAATTTTCAAAACGGATAATCATTGAGTAATCTATTATTCACTAACTTATTTTCTCTTATTAAGAAATTTATTCTTCCGTGATTCTAACCCACTGTGCATTCAGCTTTGGTTCCATCCAACTCTGCTGACTGAGTCATATGACTTTCTTGTTCTACCTCAAATTGAGTTTTTTCCTTCTTTTTAGCTCCAACAGAAACCAGTCAAAATAGTCTGCATGGTCATAGAGTAAATGCGTCCACGTAACATGACGTGCAACAATATTCAAGTGCCGTGAACTTCTCCACATATGGTGTTGCACTTTAGCATGTATAGATTATTGTGCTTGTGTCCTAGAAGTACTATCTTATCACGTGATCTTACGTCTAACACGTCCTTCTTAGAGCTCCACTCTAGGCCGTGTGAGTCTAGCATTCCAAGAGAAATTAATTTCTTTCTCATCTCAGGAATAAACCTAACTTGGATCACTGTACGTTTGATCCCATCAAACATGCAGATCTTTACAGAATCAACATCTTCAATTCTACAGGGTTGATCATTCCCCAAAATAACTAATCCGTCTAATCATAAGAAAGTATAGAAGATCTCTCTAATGTAATATATATGATTGTAATAATCCACCAAAGGCTAAAACTGCAGTATAGCAGCAAAAAGGTCGAACCCACAGGGACAGAGGCAACACACAGAGTACAAAGTGTCACATTTAACAGACTATTGAAGAGTTTGAATTCTCAGGCGACTGTCACTCCCAGAAATACTGCAAGTGCTCAACTCGGAGGTCACTCGAAGGACGCACAGTGTAGCGTAGTTCACTCTAACACACACCTGAAACTATAGAAACACAACTCAGAGGTCGGTTAGGACCTCTACTTAAGATTTCAGGGGGAAAGCCTCTCACGAGTACATTCAGCGGATCTGCAGGTAGTGACTCCCAACTCCAGCTTTTACAACCCTTCCACTAGTTTCTGCTAGCAAAGGGCACCCGGTTTGGACTTCCTACTTCGGATGCGGTATCTTCGTCAAACCAAAGTCACTCACACACTAAACTCACAAAACGCGCAGAGAATACAGGTCCGAACTGAGAAACTCAACTGAGAAAAGATCCAGTGGCACACCATAACAGTCTATTGAAGAGTTTGAATTCTCAGGCACTAGTCATTCCCAGAAATACTACAGAGGTTTGCCCCGGAGGCGCCTTCTGCAGCGTAACCTGAATTACAACCAAGGCTTACTCGAAGTAGCAAAACTTCACTTTGGCATTCAGGGGAAACATCCCGAAGGAGTATAAACAGGAACAATCACCCGAAGGTGTAGCGACGAACTGTTCAAGTATCTAACTAGTTACTAGCTCTGAGCATTCAGCAATCACCCGCAGGTGTAGATCCAAACTGCTCAAGTATCTAACTAGTACACTGGCTCTGAACATTCGGCCGGAGGCCTTCAGCTACAAAATGCGGTATCTTCGTCAAGCTGTAGCTCCTCTTGCGTGGTGACAGAACTAAGGACACAAACACGCAGAGAAAATGAGTTCCTAATCTGCACTTCCGAAACTGGAAGAATCCCAAGGCAAGACGCCTTGAACTAATTTATACCTTCTAAGTCCTAACTAACACTCTACACTACACTACGCTGCAGGACGCTGCATGTCATCTACACTGTCTCTTGCGCGACGGACTGCCGCGCACTAACTCCCTACCCGACCAGTCTTCGGCTCGACTGCGCAACCCCAGCCGCCTCAACACCGTAGTCACCTCCGCCTCGAGGTTACAATGGCGTCCCGCGACTTGGCAAGGAAGACATCTAACTTCTTCGCCACTCGCCGTCGGCTCCGACTGTCACCCGACATCAAGCCCGCCGCACGAAGCTCTAACTCGCGCAATGTGATTTTATCCTGCGCAGCCACTTCCTAGAGGGTGTAACCTCTGAAACAGTGGTTTACACGTTCCACCAACTCTTCTTTCGTGAGATCTGCCTTCCGCCGGCGATCGTCTTCAACTACTACCAGCTGCAACTCTGCCTCCCCACGCTGCGCTCTCAATTCGCCGCACTGCGATTGTAGTTGACGGATTAAGTCCTCATCCGCTTGGCGTGCGAGCTGACACTGCTCTAGCAACCGTGTCTGTCGCACGAGCTCCTCTGACAAGATGCGATTCTAAGTTTGCTCAGATTCAAGCTCATCAGTGAGCTTCGCCTGCTGCTTGGCGAACTCCTTCTTCGCCTCCTCGAACTTCTCGTCTCGCGTCTTGTTAACTACCTTCTGCAATTTCCGCACGATTGTGAGGTGTCCGCGGAGGGCCTCGTTCTTCAACCGCAGGTCCTTGATGTCCTCGTCCAAGGAAGCCAACAAGCTACTGGTT